GTTAAAATTATTTCCATTGAAATTCTCACGGTTGAACTCTTCTATAACTCAGGTGTATGCCTAGAAGCTCCTCTAGAACTGGTGAACTCTTTGAAGGACTCTCAGATCCCGAGAAAGCATTCCGGACATTGAACCGGGCTAACAAGAAGAGCAAACAGCTGAAACAAAGCGAACAAATTGAAATTGAAATGGATGACGTAAACAACGTCAACGGGAACAACAGGAATGATCGAGATGACCCAAACGTCAGAGTGGTAGCACCTCTTGTGCCGGAAGCCGCTCTTTATGATTGGGCACAACCAACTGCCGATAACCTGGCCACAGCAGTTGTAGTTTCTCCAATACAAGCGGAGACCTTCCAGATTACCAACAACATTCTGCACCTGTTGCAGAATAAAGGGTTGTTCTCCGGGTCATACATCGAAGGCCCACAACAACATCTGAAGCACTTCCTATCAATATGTGTCACTCAAAGACAACCGAATGTGACTCCTGAGGCAATAATTATTACTATTCCCATTGTCAGTAACCGGGGAGGCTCAAACTTGGCTAAATTCGCTCCCAATAAACTCCATTGCTACTTGGGAGGAACTAGTCAAGCAGTTCTTAAACAAGTTTTATCCACCCAACAAAACTGCGAGGCAGATTGATGAGATATTGCAATTTAGGCAGAAACCGACTGAGACTTTGCAAGAGACCTGGGAGAGGTTTAAGGGCATGTTGGTGAAGTACCCTCACCATGGAATTCCGGATCAGATGCTGGGACAAAGATTCTATATGGGTTTGGCTGACAGTCTGAAGGCCAATGTAGATGCTTCTGCCGGGGGTGCATTCTTGAGCAAAACCTTCACAGAGTGTAAGATTCTTCTTGACAAGATGTCTAAAAATTCAGGCTGGATGACGAGAGACACAACACTCACACCAATAGTGCATTCTGTCGCTCTGGACCCAAACAACACAAATGCAGAAAACATAGCCACTCTTATGACCCAGATGAGCTTGTTGACAAAGAAAATCGATGAGATGGGTACAAAACAGGTGAACATTGTTGATACCACAAATGGAGGCTTATGCGCTCCTTGCATAAACCAGTCATATGAGTGTTCGTGGAGTGGAGAGAATGATAACCAAGGTTTCAGAGAAGACATGAATTATGTCAATAATTATGGAGGACAGAGGCAAGGTGGGCAGCAATGGGGACCAACATCAAACCAGCAGTACGGACCCCAATCCAATCCAGGAGGAGCACGACCATAAGTCCAAGTCGTGCCTTATCAAAGACAGCAGGGCTATAATCAGCAGCACCAGCAACAGTTGGCCTACCAACAACCTCATCAACAGCAGGATAGTAACATGATCGAAATCAGGGGTATGCTGCAACAACTTATTGGGACAAATGGAAAGATGCAAGAGAAGTTAGCTGCACATGATTCACCAATCAAAGGCATTGAAACTCAATTGGGACACTTATCTTTAGCCTTAAACAATCGCCAATAAGGAACATTGCCTGTATATACAAACATTAATCCAAAGGATCATAACCCAAATCAGCTCATGGCGGTGAGTCTCAGGAATGGGAGAGATTTAGACAGGGAGAAAGAAGTTGCTCAATCTAGGAAAGAGACAACGCCGACTACCCCAGTTACATTAGAGACAGATGAATCTACAGAACTCACTGATGTTGTATTCGAGCAAGCATAGGTTGACAAGGGTAAGGATAAGGAAGGTGAACAACTCCCAGAACATGTAGTAGAAAAAGCTTCCAGCAAAGAAAAGACACAAAGCAGTGGGCAGAGGTTGATTCCTGCACCATTCCCTCAGAGGTTGGCAAAGCAAAAGAATGATGATCAATACAGGAAATTCATGGAAATGCTCAGACAAATTCAATTAAATATCCCACTGATGGATGCTTTGAGGGAAATGCTAGGATACGCAAAAATGACGAAGGACCTAATGTCGCGAAAATTTGACTTCCAAGACCTGTCCACTGTAACTCTTACACAGACCTGCAGTGCGGTAGTGACAAGACCTATGGCTCAAAAGGTGTCTGATCCAGGTAGTTTCACTATCCCATGCACCATTGGGAGTTATGCTTTTGCCAAAGTATTGTGTGACTTGGGCGGCAGTATAAACTTGATGCCATTGGCAATCTATACAAAACTAGGCATTGGCAGAGCTAGACCGACCTCAATGTTGCTGCAACTAGCTGATCACACAGTCAAAAGACCGACATGAATTCTTGATGATGTGCTTGTTCAAGTGGGGAAATTTGTATTCCCTGCAGACTTCATAATTCTTGACTGTCAAGTGGATGAGGAGATACCAATCATTCTGGGCAGGCCTTTTTTAGCCACTGGGAGAGCATTGATTGATTGTGAGACTGGAGAATTGAAAATGAGGTTGAACAATGAAGAGATAATATTCAATGTTCAACAATCTATGAGGAGACCCAACGAATTTGCAAATTGCTCACTAGTGGAAGCCGTAGATATAATACTACAAGAGGAGGATGAGACTATTAATGTCAGGGATCCATTGGAGGCCTACCTGATGAATCTGGAAAATGTGGATGGTGAAGAGTTGGCAGAATGGGTCATGGCTCTTGAAGGTCAAGGCTTCTGGAAAAGGGAGCCCGAGTTTGAGCCACTACACTTAGAAGAAAGAACATCACCTCCTGCGAAACCATTGATAGAGGAGCCACCACAGTTGGACCTGAAACCGCTTCCAGCGCATCTCAGGTATGCTTTTTTAGGGCCTAATTCTACTTTACCTGTTATTATATCATCCGTTTTGCTAGCTGTGCAGGTAGAGCAACTCCTACAGGTGTTACAAGAATGTAAGACTTCTAATGGTTGGACCATGGCAGACATAAAGGGTATCAGCCCAACTTTTTGTATGCACAAGATTCTCTTGGAAAAAGGGAACTAACCTAGAGAACATCAACGAAGGCTGAACCCGAATATGAAAGAGGTGGTGAAGAAGGAAGTGATCAAATGGTTAGATGCGGGTATCATATTCCCCATCCCTGACAGCAATTCGGTCAGCCCTGTTCAGTGTGTACCAAAGAAGGGGGAATGACGGTCCTACAAAATGAAAATAACGAGTTGATCTCAACTCGTACTTTCACGGGATGGCGGATTTGCATGGATTATCGGAAATTGAACACAGCCACCCGGAAGGACCATTTTCCTTTCCATTCATTGACCAAATGCTAGACAGGTTGGCTGAGCGATCTCACTTCTATTTCTTAGATAGATATTCGGGGTACAATCAGATCTCAATAGCCCCCAAAGACAGAGAGAAAACATCATTCACCTGCCCGTATGGCATCTTTGCCTTTCGAAGAATGCCTTTTGGACTTTGCAATTCACCGGCTACATTCCAGCGGTGTATGTTAGCCATTTTCACGGACATGGTTGAAGACATTATGGAGGTATTTATTGATGATTTCTCCATGGTGGGTGATTCATTCGAGGACTGTCTTCACAATTTAAGAAGAGCGCCTAAAGATGTGTGGAGACAAATTTAGTGCTAAACTAGGAGAAGTGCCATTTTATGGTACAAGAAGGAATAGTCTTGGGTCATCGAGTGTCTAGCAAAGGAATTGAGGTTGACCATGCTAAGGTTAACGTGAATGAGAAGTTGCCACTGCCCACTTCGGTCAAGGCAGTGAGAAGTTTCCTTGGGCACGCCGGATTCTACCGGCGATTATAAAAGATTTCTCTAAGATTGCTAACCCTTTATGCAAACTCCTTGAAAAGGATCAGCCCTTTGTGTTTTCTAATGATTGCAGGTTAGCATTTGAGGAGCTGAAGAAGAGATTGGTGACTGCACCCATCATTGTTGCACCCAACTGGGAGCAACCGTTCGAGCTCATGTGCGACTATGCTATCGGAGCAGTCTTGGGGCAACGAAAGGATAAGCTGATGCACCCAATTTATTATGCAAGCAGAACGCTAAGCGGTGCACAACTCAATTATACCGTGACTGAAAAGGAGATGTTAGCTGTAGTTTTTGCATTCGACAAATTCAGGTCTTACTTGATTGGTTCAAAAGTTATTGTTTATACTGACCATGCAGCAATTAGGTACTTGATAGCAAAGAAGGTGTCAAAGACACGCTTGATCCGCTGGGTTCTTTTGCTACAAGAATTTGATCCGGAGATCCGTGACAGAAAAGGGACAGAGAACCAGGTAGCTGACCACCTCTCAAGGTTGGAAGGAGCTGAAAAGAAGGTAGAAGTTGAAGATATAACAGAGACATTCCCGGATGAATAGTTACTAGCAGTGACAATGGAGGAGACACCATGGTATGCTGATATTGCTAATTATTTAGCAAGCGGTATTGTACCTTATGAACTCTCTTCAATTCAAAAGAAAAAGTTCTTTCGTGATTGTCGGTTTTATTATTGGGATGAACCTCTACTTTTTAATATATGTGTAGATAACATGATCCGGAGGTGTATCCCCGAGAAAGATCAACCTTCTGTTTTGCAGGCTTGCCATGATTCACCATATGGTGGACACTTTGGAGGGATTCGGATAGCAGCTAAGGTGTTGGAATCGGGCTTGTATTGGCCAACTCTGTTCAAGGATGCCCATGCTTGGGTGAAGAGCTGCGATGAGTGCCAAAGGACAGGCAACATATCTTGACGTCACGAGATGCCGATGACTACCATTCAAGAGGTGGAGGTATTTGACATGTGGGGGATTGACTTTTTGGGGCCATTGGTCAGCTCGTATGGTAACAAATATGTACCGGTGGCAATTGACTATGTCTCAAAATGGGTTGAAGCTGTGGCTCTCACAACCAATGATGCAAAGGGGGTGACAGGCTTTCTAAAGAAAAAAATCTTCACACTCTTTGGAACCCCAAGAGCTGTAATCAGAGATGGTGGAACCCATTTTTGCATTAGAGCGTTTGCACGACTGTTGGAAAAGTATGGAGTTCGTCATAAGGTGACCACCCCTTATCACCCATAGTCGAGTGGGCAAGTTGAAATGTCAAACCGGGAAATCAAAAGTGTCCTAACCAAGACGGTGAATGCGACAAGGACTGATTGGGCGAAGAAGCTGGATGATGCATTATGGGCATACCACACAACATTTAAAACTCTAATTGGTATGTCACCATACAAGTTGGTGTTTGTAAAAGCATTTCACCTTCCGGTAGAGCTCGAGCATAAAGCCCTTTGGGCACTACGGCAGTTGAATTTGGATATGGAGACTGCCGGCACCAATAGAGTCACTGGGTTACATGAACTCGAGGAATTCAGGTTCCATGCATTTGAGAATGCAAGATTGTACAATGAAAGGATGAAAATGATGCATGATAAGCATATCCTAGATCAGAACTTCAAACTGGAGATCTAGCGTTGTTATACAACTCGAGATTAAGATTGTTTCCGGGTAAACTGAAGTCCCGATGGTCAGGACCCTTCAGAGTGGTGCAAGTGTTCCCAAGTGGAGCTGTGGAAATTGAATCTGAAGATGGCACAAATAAGCTCAAAGTGAATGGGCAAAGGTTGAAACATTACCTTGTAATGGTCGAAGAAAAGGGGGATAGAGTGGTGATATCTTTGGAAGAGCCCTAATATATGAGCGAAGAGTAACAATGGAAGCTTGCATCGTGACGCGACGTTAAATCAGGCGCTTCCTGGGAGGCAACCCATGGTTTGTTGTAAATTGTCATGCCGCGACGTTAAATTAGGCGCTTGTTGGGAGGCAACCCATCATTTTTTCTTTGATTCCTGTTTTTTTGTAATTGATTTTTGAACGGTGACAATATTGATCGATCCACTAAGGTGCAGGAACGAAGGTATGCATAGCGGAAAGACTCGGGGTGACGAAAGTACCCCGGAGATAGGCAAAAATGTGAAAAAAGCAAAAAAATCTTGGATGCCTAATCCGGGGCCGCGGATCTGATCGCGGATCATCCGCGGAGTTTGCATATGTTCTATCCGCAGCCACGGATCTGACCGCGGATCCGGCCGCGGACCTGGCGCCATTCAGGTTTTGTTTTTTTTTGTATTTTTTCGTTTATTTTCTTCTCCCTTCCCCCCTTTTTCCTGTAATTATTTTTTTAATTAACCCCCCCCCCCCCCCTTCCATCCGCCCCATTCTTATTCCCTCCCCCCCTAACCAAAAACAAAACTAAGTAAAACAAAAACAAAACCCTCCCTCTCTCCAACTCTAAACGTAACCCTCCCCTATCTTCACCAAATCTCCCTTCCTCCTCCCTCTTCCTTACTCCACCACTACCCAAGCCCCATTCCTAACAAGATTCTCAAGTAAGTACATACTTCTACTTTCTTCTTTTAGTTTTTTTTTTGATTTGTTTCTTTTTTTCTGATTTTTTCATTCTTTTTCTCTTTTATTGTAAGTGTAGGAAAGTAGAAATATGGGTATTCTTATCTTTGTTGTTGTTTATTGGTGTATATATTGGTATGTGAGGCCATTAGGCGGTTAGGTTGGGAAGACATTGTTGAATTGTGAAGAATGGAGTTTAATTGGGTCTTTGGGCACATTGGGGGGCATATGCACAGTAGGTGCTTGTTGAATTGCCACAATGAGCTTTCTAGTATAAATTGTGACCAAGGGTGCGAGTGAAGTTTGAGTAACCGCCCTTGGTTCACCTATTCCGCTGATTATTGATAATGGTAGCTGTTGTTCAGGTACAATGAGATCTTCCAAGAAGAGACGCACTACCGGTGGCTCCTCTCGGGCACGGGCATCAGCCAGTTCAGGGCAGTTTGATAGTACCAGGTTTGTCTCCAGAGCTGCCCAAGACCGTTTCACTTGGAAGCCTATTAGAAAGCCTATACCAGAACGGGGTGTTGACCGGGGTTCCCTCCAAGCTGAATGCCCCAATATGTATAGGGAGCTGGTTAGGCGCAGGCTAGACATCTACTTCGAAGAGCCGGAGGTCGGTAACTTAATGCTTGTCAGAGAATTTTACGCCAACTGCTCTGAACATAAGGATCACATCTGCACTGTGCGAACAAAAGAGGGTGAATGCCTCGATTGAAGCCATCAGGAGAGTGTATCACTTGCCTGCATTTACTGGGGAGGTGGATTACTATAATACTTACAAGCAAGAACCCACAAATTGGCAATTGTGTTTCCAAACTATTTGTAACCCAGACAAGGAGGTAGTGTGGGTTGTACAGGGATCGAAGTTGCACTCCGCCTCACTCACCTTTGAAGGAAAGTGTTGGTTGTACATCATCAATAGTCGAGTGCTGCCGTCCCACAACACCACTGAGGTCAATGGACCGAGAGCTATTTTGATCTGGTGCTTCATGAATGGCCACGATTTTAATGTGGCCAAGGTTATTCACTCTGAGATGTTCATACGTTCAACACTGAGGAGGTATGGATTCTTTTTCCAATCTCTGGTCACTAGATTGTGTCGGGCTGTAGGGGTGTTAGGGAACCCCAATGTGGATGGCAAGGTGAAGAAAGAAACAATGTTTCGAGCATCCAAAGTGAACATTAGGAAAGACACGGTGGCACCCATTTCAACTGATAGTGATGATTCTGAGGCGTCAGAGGAGAGTGATGAAGAGCACGTGGAAGTTGGGCCTTCTTCCACCCCACAGGAACAAGTTGGTCCATCCTCACCCCCACGGGAACAAGTAGCCGCGGGTGAAGGTTCATATGCAGTCAGGCGGAGCACGCAGATGACAGCCTTAGAACAAGAAATGGCAGGGCTGCGCACTTCCTTCATGGAATTGGGGACTAGAGTTGATGCTTTGGCCACCCAAAGTGCGAAGCCGAAAAAGAAAATCATGGGCTGGCTGCGTGCGCTGGGGAGGGTGTGTCAACTCGACCCCGGCACTGTCTCCGATCAAGACTGATCTTCCATGGAATTTCCTTTACCTCGCATTATTTTATTTTGTATGATATGGGGACATGCCATCATTTTAAGTGTGGGGTGGGGGATGCTTTGTGGTATGTTGTATGTAACATAGTTTTGTAGTTTATTTACATAAATCATTTTCGACTTGTACCGACGATGGATATCATTCGACGGGTTTCTTGAGGGACTAAAGTCGACGAAGAAAAAACACAAAAAGATTTTCTTTTGTAGTAGTGTATCAATTCACCCTTAGTTTTTCTTTAAGCCACGGTTCTTTTCCAAGGGTTTCATTTGAACCGGGTGTAGTTAGTTTTTTGTTATTGTTAGTAGGAACTTGTGGGCTATGAGCGGAAACGAAATAGGATCTCTTAACATCGTAATGCCTTGAATATAACGAGTACTTTAGTGTGATGCTTAGGCTCAGTTGTCGACTCTTGTAAGAATGCCTTAAAATGTATGTTCTTAATGTGGCTAAGTACATTGATTAGAGTGTTTGATGACCCAATCTGGAGTGAGTCATGTGCCATGTGTGTGTGAGACTTGTTGTATTCTGTGCACGACATTTGATGCCTAGAACTTGCCCTGTGTGTCTGCAAAGCGAAATAGTAGTCTTGTTTAGTCTGGGAAGTGATATAGGTATTTCTTTGTTGAACCATATATATATACTTCATCCACCCATTTGTTATGTATCATAGTTAACCCCGTTGAGCCTGTAATCCTATTTCTTTGGCAACCACACTACAAGCCTTTCCCATTTGTTTGAATTAACCATCTTTTCAAACCTATTCACCTCTCATGAGCACTTGAATTGTATGAACTTTGTAAAAGTTAAAGTGTGGGGTGGTTGGTTTGGATTTTGAGTGGAACTAATGAGATAAGGAGAAAGGTGCACTGTTTTGAATATATATATATATATATATATATGGTTGTGATGTTGTGGAAAATATTCCTTAATAAGTGGTGGCTCTTGATGTAATTATGCTTAAAGAAAAAGGGAGTTAATATGTAATGATGTGAAGGTGGAGTCATGGTTTGACATAAGTGTGGGGTTTTGAATGCTAACGTATATGTATTAAAGTGCTTAGGGAGGTGTATCCACTCGTATATCTAAATATATCCTACCCGTCCCGCAGCCTACATTACAACCAAATAAAGCCCTAATTGATCCTATACTGAATGAGCTCGATTAGTAGAGTAGTACACTATGGGTAGGCCTATGGTGCGTCTTTTGCGGCATATGAATGTCATTTCGGAGGGTGAGTGAATTCTGTTTATATTGAAGTTCCTCAGTGTGTGTGCATGTTATTGATTGTGGAATGAGTCTCTTTTGTTGTGAGCAGGCACTTGATTCATGAAGGAGAGGTAAGTTTGGACCTCTGAGTTAGGGTAAGAAAGCCGGTTAGGAATATTGCGTGGCTCGCGGGAGTCAACTCTTGAGGTGTGGATATTACACTAATGTACTCAATCTATGAGGAATATTCTTGGTGTGCCGAGTTAGAGAAGTCGCTCGGGGAAGTTAGGCCTCTATAGAGTGTGGTTTGATTGCTCGAGGACGAGCAAAGGTTTGTGTGGGGTGTTGATAGTAGACGATAATTATGCAATTTAGATACTATTTACGCTCTAATTTGGCCGCACCTTATCAATGTTTGAATGTAAAAAGATAACAAAATGCTCTAATTAAGAGTTTTACGTTTTGCAGGAGCCACTCTGAGCTAGGAGGAAGCTAAAGAGTGTTTTGGAGTCAATATGGAGCGTGGAAGGCCAATTGGAGGATGGCACGGTCGAAAAGGAGAAAGAAGAGCAAGGACCAGCTCCGCGGACGCGGACATAACATTTGTCAAATCCGCGATCGCGGACGGGCAGCCGGAGACAAAAATCCAAGGTCAATTATGTAATTTCCAGGGCGACTAACCTAAACCTATATGAAGCCTAATTCATCAAAGAGAGAGGGATAGCTGTTTTTAGAGAGATTTTGAAGGAAAGAACACGAGAGAAAGACAGAGAATTTTTATTAGAGTTTTATTCTTCTTTTTAATTGTTGATTATGACTTTGTTTATCGAATTTTCATCTATTAGTATGAGTAGCTAAACCCGTCATCGAGGGTTGATGGAACCAATTATTGAATGAAGTCTTGACCATATTTTGATATAATTGAGCCGTTTTTACTCTATGATTGTTCAACTATGTGTTGTCTTGTGATTAATTGAAAGGGCCCTTGATTAATCGTGTATAGTTACCTTGTGTTGCTTGAGAAAGAACACTTGGTTAGATTGTTGTTGAACAACACCACTTTCGGGTAAGTTAAGAGATTAATTACTTGGATTTAAAAGCAGGATTAGAGATAACGAAGCTTTGGGGAGGAATCATTCTGAGTTGTATAAATTGTTAGCTAGAGTAGTTCGAGAGAATGCTTCTAGTAAATTATCGTAGTTGATCGAGAGATAATTGCGGTAACCCAGAACTCATATTTCTTATAGAGTGTCACGCTGAAATTATAGCTAACGTGTCAGG